ATCTTTCTAATGCTTCCCTAAAGAATCCTGTGTTCTTCAATGTGCATCATGTCTGTACAGTACTTCTTGACATCCCTGAGTGATGCAAATCATGCTTCTTGAAGTGTGTGTGTGTGTGTGTGTGTGTGTGTGTGTGTGTGTGTGTGTGTGTGTGTGTTGAGTTTGGAGAATAAAAAGAAGTCTGAAAGGGCAAGATTAGGGATGGAGTTTGCATAGGTAAGGTTTCCCCATGAGATGCTCACAGGGCAGCCCTTACTGCCATTGAAGAATGAGCAGGTGCATTGTGTAAAAGAAGACAATTCCTTAGCCCAGCTTTCCTGGCCTTTTTCTCATTAATAAGAGTCTCTTCTGTTTTCTTAAATGTCATACAATTATGAATATATACAGTGATTTGGATGTTTTTATTAGGACTTAGATTGGTTTGAAAGAATGCGAGACTTAGATGACTTTAACTTCAGAATTACATATTTTGTTATGCCTGGGATTTAGTTCAATTTAAACTTTGATAAGTATGCTAGATAATGATATTTTTACATTTTATAAGCAAGGGCATAGCCATTGATTGTAAAAATGTTAAGTGTATATTTGTGATTTCTATGAAGATAATAGAAATAATCTACTGTATATACTCGTGTATTAGCTGAGTTTTTCAGCACATTTTTAATGCCATTTTTGTGGTAAAGTTAGGTGCCTCGGCTGATATTCAGGTTGGCTTATACTCAAATATATATGGTACTTCCTTTCTAATACTTCTTATTTAGGTTAACCTCTCTTTAAGCCTATTATATATATTTTAAACATATTATATTTTAAAAAGCATTCATGGTGTCCATTTTTAGGCAGTAATTCAATCATTTGATTTAGGAAATTTTATTATTTTGTGAATCTGCTTAGAATGTCGAAAATGACTTTGCCCCTTGACATTGGGACAGTTAACGAAACTTTTACTCTTTGTAGGTGTCCTTGGTCACTTTAGTTGCAAACGCTCTCGGCTACTCAGATCTTGGCCCCATTAAATCCCTGCGGACCCTTAGAGCCTTAAGACCTCTAAGAGCCTTGTCCAGATTTGAAGGAATGAGGGTAAGAACAAAACTAAACTTCTGAATATACCATGCTTATTTTTTAAGTAGAATACAAAATATGGATGGAAAAAGATTTAGAAATTATGTACTGTTTATATTTACACTTAGGCATGCATGATTATATGTGTAAGTGTTGACTGCACACATATGTGTGTATTCACATGATTTCAGTGGATATTATTTCATCAATGAATATACCAAATACAATAATGCTGTCTTTATCTAACTTTGTTAAGCAATAGAATGATTCCAAAAGTGAATTTTCTCCCTTTCAAATGGTGCCATCTCCCCCATCCCTCATGCATCCCAGGGAAGTTCAAATAAGGGCTTTTGGGAGACATTGTTAGACCAAATACCATCTTCAAGGGCTTGCTGTGATAGGTACTAAAATAATATTGAGTAAGGGCATCAGAAAATTCATGGAAAAATAGAATAAAGAGAACGGGTTGTTTCATTGAACTAATTGAAGCCCCTTGTATTTGTTAAAGGCACTAACCAGGGAGAAGAGCATTAAAAGAGAGGGTGGTGGGGAGATAAAGTCTCATCAGAATCACTTTTTATTTCATTCTTAAAATTATGTCCAAAATCAGCAGAATTATTCACAAATTACAGTTGAGAAAATGAAGTGTCAGCATTAACTTCACTTCAACTAAACTGCTTAGTGTTGGTGAAAAAGATTAATTTAGCAGTAATATGGTAAGATCAGCAGACTGCCAACAGCCCAGCAGTCAGGGCTGAGTTCAACCAGCAGCTCCTTCACAGAACACATGTAGGAAAACGGCCCTATTTCCTGTCTGCTCTACCTCTTCATTGTTTGGCGATCTTCTCAAATTTTATGTTCTTCAACTTTCTACCTGTTTGCTCTCTCCAGCTTGAACTCTATCACTGTAACAGATAAATACTCATTCTTTTTTAAGTCTCAATTTTAAAATTATCTTCTGTACTCTACCAACACACATAACTGGGCATCCTCCCTCTATTATATGATGTGTGCTTTATTTCAGCTAGCTTGCAGAGTAGTCTCGCTCAGGGATTCCCCAAGTGTGGTCCACTGGTGAGACGCTCAGTATTCTCGCTCTCACTCGGCCTCAGAGCCGACTCCCACTCATCGCAGCCCTAAAGAAGAGAGCAGAACTGCCCCTGTGGGTCTCCGAGCAAGTGAAGCTTCACAGGAGGACAAGGCCGTCTCATTCTCCCATGGAGCGGCTGGTGGCTTGAACTGCTGACTTTGTGGCTAACAGTCAATGCGGATCATTCCAATCCATCAGGGCTCCTTCCAGGATTATGTAGCAATGCAAATAAAAACTCTCAAATCTCACCCTAGACTTTCAGAATCAAAAACTCTTAGATGCCAATCAGCAATAAGCAAGCTGTCAAGGTGGGGAGGGAGGGGGCACTAGTTGCCACCCACTTAATTCCAACTCATGGTGAACCCATCTGTGTCGCAGTAGAACTGTGCTCCACACACAGTTTTCGATAACAGTTTTGATAGATTGCCAGGCCTTTTTACTGAGGAACTTCTGAGTGAATTTGAGCCACTGGCAGTTCATTTAGTAACCAAGTCTTAACTATTTGAGCCTCCCTCAGGTGTAATTTTGCTAGCAGATCTTGTTTATCTCTGCCAATCTAATTGTAAATGTGAAGTCGAAGACTCAATCTATCCAGTGTATAATGGTGCCCATGTATATAACAACATTATTCTTCTAAGGACTCCCTTAATAAATAATATTCAAGTACTCTACGAAAGAATCGAGAATTATAAGATTTGAGAAACTATAAGTTTCAATTTATGCAGGAAAATGGCATGGGAATTCATTAACATTAACTTCATTTTCTGAGCATTAGCAGAATGTTACAGCCTATACAAAACGTATGACTAACCTATCCCTGGGATCTTGTATAACCACCAACTAAGCTCACTGCTATCAAGTCTTTCAAACTCATCATGGCCGTATAGATCAGGGCAGAACTGACCCTTAAGATTTACGAGGATATGAATTTTTATGGGAGCTGAAAGTGTCATCCTTCTCTCATGTCTAGTGTATAGTATCATGACCAAGCAAAGAATACGTTGATTGGCCTCGAGGGAGGCAGACGGGAGCAGTAGTTAATCTGTGATACCTAGTCTCTCACTCAGTACTGCAAACATCAAGGAGTGATCAGCTGTTGGAGGAAGTGTGGGAAGGCGTCACAGGGAAGTGGCATTTGAGCTCAACCCGAAAGAATGAGCCCCAATTATTGGCTCACAGGCATTTCCAACAGATGCTGCAAGGTAGAGGGGCAGAGTTGAGTGTACAAGTCATATTTTGGAAATGACTAGAAGGATCAATGTGCCGAGGAAATTAGCCCAATGGAGGGAATATCAGGGAACAGTTAAATATGCCAGAACAACATCCTTGTAGACCAGGCTATTCTGTTTGAACTTCATTTTGTGGTATTGCTTTTCCTAACTTTTCCATGAGTCCCAGATACTGCAAGTCTCTGATGAAAGTATGAATCATCTCTCTAGAAAGCAAACACAGAACTTCATGTCTTCATGGAACCTTTGGGAGTCCATGGGTGGCCAACGTAATAGCCATTGTTGTAGGACAAGGGTCAACAAGCAGCTGGTTACCTGTTTTTTTATCAATGAACTTTAATTACAACATAGCCTTGTTTATTTGTTTACTTAGTATTTTTGCTGACAATGGAAGGGATGAGTAGTTGAAACAAAGATAATATGACCAGCAAAGATACTCTAGATTATCTCTTAGGCCATCAAAGATCCCTAGTGCTAGCATTTCACCATTTGGAAGTGTCTTAAGAGCCTGCTTTCTATATTGCAAAAAAGGAGGATAAAAATACTGTTTACATGAGAAATTAGATGTTAGCATAGTTTCACAACAGAGTAGACTAGTGGGGGTTGAAAGGTGTTGTAATTAAGATCTAGAGAACGATACATGCCACAGTAGCAGTCAGGGAAGAAGGTTGGAAGAACGTGGGCCACTAGAAGCCGATAGCAATGGAACTAAACAGAAATAAATGAAGTATTATCTATAGAATATGCCTCCTTTTGGTTCTTCTTGAGACTAGCACTACCTACATTTGATCAAAGACTTGTACATAGAATGTTTTTAGAATTAGAGAAATAACTGAAAAGATTCCTATCACTACAGATGAGGAAATCAAGGCCTATGGGTCATAAATGAATTTTCATATCACACAACTGGTAGAAGCAGATAAACCTATGAGCTCATCCCATTAAATGATTCCCAGTCTTAATTCAAGCTCATAAACACCAGTAGTTGTTTTCTATGGGATAATCTTTAATGCTAATAATTCTAGGATCAAGAATTTATATTTTTTATCATTTATATGTCTAAATTTCTCTTTTTTCTAGACTTGGCAGATTTTATGACTTCATCTTACCAAGATCAGGTTTTTGTTTTATTTTTTCATTTATTTAACCTATCATATCATTTAGCTATCATTTTGTTACGCCTTGTATTTAGCTCATATTTCCTGTGTGCTTATTGCATATTCCCCAATGAATATAAGCTCATTGATGGCAGGGCCCATGTTTCATGTCATCTTGCTTGGCATACTTCTGAAGATACAGTAAACATTTAATAAATACATATTGATTCGTTGATTTGGTGTCTTAAACATTTAAGGGTATTTTTGAATTCTCAGAATACTGTGCTATGTTTCTTTTATGCTTGCCTATTGGAATATTTTTACTAACCCCAATCATGTTTTCTTTCTTTGATGCCAGGTGGTTGTGAACGCACTCATAGGAGCAATTCCTTCCATCATGAATGTGCTACTTGTGTGCCTTATATTCTGGCTAATATTTAGCATCATGGGAGTAAATCTGTTTGCTGGCAAATTCTATGGGTGTATTAATACCACAGATGGATTGCCGTTTCCTATCAGTAAAGTTCAAAACAGATCTGAGTGTTTTGCCCTCATGAATGTTAGTCAGAATGTGCGATGGAAAAACTTGAAAGTCAACTTTGATAATGTCGGACTTGGTTACCTGTCTCTGCTGCAAGTTGTAAGTGACCTCTTTCGTTAATGCTTTGTCATTTGATGGACATTAATGAAGACTATACCATTCTTTAATCTACAAGCAAGAAATTAAAGTACTTTCAGATTTTAAAAACAAAACCGGTCTTTCTTAGAATAGGTGCTCATAGTATAAGTCAAGAAACAGATTCTGTTACATCTGAAAGTTATTAAACCTGAAGTGGTCACTTGGTCCTATTCAGGCAACCAGCACTGCACCATCAAAATGTTGCTCCAAAAATGTTTCAAAATACCTACTTGTTGTACGGCTAATGTTATACTACGTGGGACAGGGGAGTGGGGCGTGACGACACTAGCACTGAGAACCCTTAAGAAATGGAGAAAATGGCTTCCCTGCCTTATAAACTTCCCCTCTGCCTCTGGAAACAAAAAATCATGTGCAAAATTCACAGGAAATAGTAACAGTGTGAAATAACTAATTCATACTAATATTTAGAATGTGACATGAGAATATGTTTGGTGTTTCATAACATCTTTATAGTAACTGGTAATTTGAAATACAGCAAAGATTACTAATTTAGTATTGTTTAATGGATGCTGTAATGTGAAACAAACCAACCCACATATATGTGAGCTTCATAATCAGTTTTATAAAATTTATGTTTACAGGCAACATTTAAAGGATGGATGGATATTATGTATGCAGCTGTTGATTCTGTTAATGTAAGTCTTGGTCAGCGTAATGCTAAAGTTCACCACTTAAAAGCTATGTACTTTAGTTCCCTGTGTTTCTCAAACTGCAGCTCCTTGGAAGGTTTGGCACGTACACTCACAATGAAAAACTGGTGCCACTTTGGTAGAAATGGTTAAAAGCAGTGGACGTTCTTCATTGTTAGCAGAGCATCCACCACTTTTAACCTAAGTGAAGTATTTGTAAGAGACATAGCCTGACTTCAATTCTGGCTCTACTACAACTCCGTAACTGACTATGCTCAAGTTGCTCTATTTCTGTGAAGCCCATTCATCTGTGAAAACAAATAAGTCAGTACAAAGCTGTTGTGAGAATCAAACAAAAAAATGAAGTAGAAATCACGGCATGGATGGACCTGGAGAAGATTAGGCTGAGTGACATTAGCCAATCAAAAGAGCACCAGTATTGTAGGAAACCACTGTTAGAAAGGGGTTGGGGATGGAGAACGACTTTCATAAATAGACTTCGGAGTTTGCCAACATGGAGAGGAAAGGAACGAAGGAAGGAAGGAAGGGAGGGAGGGAGAGGGGGAGGGAGGGAGGAAGGG